AAGCTACTGCACTGTGCACATCTAGCAGTGTCTAAGGAATAGGGTTAACTAAATTATGAATTATGATAGCAACTCCGTACTTAAAATGAATGTCTTAGAAAATTACTATAAAAAAGGATTCACTGAAATGGTTCAAAAAAATAGCTATAATTATTCCAGGTAATACATGTGCAGTGAAAGAAATATATTATTAATATAAATAAGGTAAATAAGTACCATGGACTCAACTAATATTAAACCAAAAAAGGAAAATTAATTATTCAGTATTTTTCCTTCTGATTTTCACTGGTGTGCACTATAGAAGAGTGTAAAAATATTCAGATTCATGTTATTCAAGATGTCAACCCCTGTATTTAGAGGCATTTGATTCTCCTTTAAATTATCCAAGAAAAGCTGTCAATAAGCCTTTCATTTATGTAAAGTAACATACATCAGAAAACAGCATGTCAAGATAAATGCAGATATTCTAGTGGATAGAAGGCTTCCTTTTACATTACATGAACCAATCAAACCTGATATACTTTCAGTCTATTGAATTTCCTCACTTCCAACTTCCTTTGTTTTAAGGAAAGTCTCCTCTAGTAATCTACTTGGAAGTAATCAGGGGGAACTAACAGCAATATAGGATATAAAATAGATGCATAGTATGAATGAGATTCTCCTCTGAAAGAACCTGCATTAAAAAAAAAAAAAATCCCTTCAAAAAAGGGGCAAAGCATTAGAAAAAATGATGTGTCTGATTCAGTCAGCAGGAGAGACGTGGAAGCAATCTGAAGCAGCTTACGCTAATTAAAATGTACTCTTCAGTGCCAGCAAGAAAGAATTCTCCGTATCTAAGTCAACTTTTGCACAAAGCTAAAGCAGCAGCTGGCGTATCTTTGAAGACAGAGGATGCTTCATTAGTATTCTTTTAATTGAGTTTTTCTGAACTTATAAACACATGCTGGTCTCATTTTTAGTTGTCTGTTTTGGAGAGTTTTACTCTAAAATTATTAGAAACTCCATACTGCATCTTCCTACAAGTCTCTCAAAAGAACAAGATGCATAGTGGCATGTACTTGCAGATTTTGATTCGGTGCACTCTAAACTGTTAAGATCAGGAGCTCTTTTGCTGTGTGTATTGGTAAGGTCCAGTAGGACCCAATTCTAATAAAAAAAAAAATTAAAAATCTTATCACAAGTAGCAGGGAAGATCGTTTTATGGTCCTTGCTACCCATGGCTTCAGTGTGGAACCCAAGAAGCAATTCAGTCAGAGACTACGGCTATCAGGAAGTGACTCTCCAGCTCTTTTGCTTGTTCTCTATCAGACAACTTCAGCCTATCGCTTGCCAGGGGCATTCTGGCACCTGGGGTCACGTATCCGGGAAGTGGCCACACCGCTGGACAAGTGCAACACTTTTTGGGAACCAGATGTAGTGTGATCCAGATATTTCTGTCATGGAACTCCAGTCATTTGGGAATCAGAGCTGTGACATGCTTAGGAGAAGTACTGTCCAAGGTTCCTATGCCTCGCAGTTCCTTGCCAGTTATGCCTCATAAATATCAGTGATTCAAACACAATTGCCACATCACTCCTTTGCCTCAGGAGGATTCGCTGGGTGCCTGAAGTACCTTGTACATTGCTATATTGGTTTGTAAGTCTTGTAAGGCTTTTTTCAGGTTCCTAAATTCTTCCTTAACTGATTAGGCCTGGGCATTTTCAGCTCCAAATCTACAGTTACAGTGGAAAGGTATCACTTAACAGACAGAAAGGCATGATAACAAAAAACTCTCTCATTTTCCATTTCACTAAGTGTCTGATTACATGTTCTCAGGCAAATCAGATAACCTGAGATTCACTTGACTCATCCACTGAGCACAAACACTATCCAACTTTGCCTTTACATTGCACTTTATAATCCCAGGATCTCAGAGCCAAGTACCAGTACAAAATAGACAGTGTCTCCCTGAAGGAAACCAACATCCATGGACAACTACCTAGTGTCACAGGGAAATCTGAATTATAAAACTATGCTGGGTAAATCACTACAGATTAGAGTGCTGAGTACAATCCAGCAGACAGAGATAGAATCAGAGATCCCCAAAGATTTTAAAAATTAACTATCAGAGGCAGAGATTAATATCAGTAATTTACAAATTATCTTTTAAAAGCATAAAACACCAATAGCAATCCAAGTTAATTTCCCTCACAAACTTTCTTCATTCTCTCTCTTTCCC